TTCCAGAGGGAGTCCAGCTGCAGAGCTCAAAGTCAGCCCCGGGGATGGTCTGTGTGCAGGAGACCAAGACCAAGATGTGCGGGGCTGTCCAAACTCTGCAGAACAGAGTGAGCTCCTCTGCTCTGCACTGGTTTGGGATGGTTTGTGAGACCTGCTTTTGATCTTTTTACATATACTTTCGTTACGCAAATTCAAGTGTCATATTTTAATGTAGATGCGTAATTATTTTGTCTGTTTATTCACTTGTTTTTGATCTAATTGTTCCCTTTGGCCTGGTCTTTCAGGTTCTCTGCTAACCGGCCTGGTTTACAAAATGAATATGTTCTTCATTTAATACTAATCTTTAATTTAAGTTGAGGTGAAGTTCGGCACTCGTGGTTTCACACGTCACAAGGTGGATCTCGCTCCAGTGGGGGTTCCTGGTTATGCCTGTGAGCTGGTGACATGCGTGTGCGTGTGATTGTGTGGAAACCATGGGAGTTTGTTGAGCGGCACACCTGGGCTGTGAGGTCATCAAGTGTTTTTTTTTTTTTTTTTTTTTTTTAAATCTGCACCTGGGCTGGAAAATCAAACATGGCCGATACTTTTTTTTTTCTTTTTTCTTTTTCCCCTTGGCATCGGTCCCCGGTGTAGGTGTGGACCGGGCTCTTACACATCAAGCAGGACATTCTTTGTTTTTCCCGGGGGGGGGGTCAGAGGTAAGGTTAAAAACAGGCTTGGCAATTTGGGATTATTGGGCCATTATCAGCTGTGTTTTACAGACTGGATTCGCTCCAGTCCTAGTGTTGTGTGAACGCTGAGTGTGTCCCTGGATAAAGCCAGAAGATGGTGATAAACTATTGCCTGTAGGTCCTTCTTCTCCCTGAATGACCTGCTTGGATACACTGGCCTGGTTTTAGCGGGAGGCCGCAGAGGTGCACGTGGCATCCTGACAGATGCTGTTCCCTCACTGGATCAGTGGCAAAACCCAGCTGACCCCATCCTGCTTTGGTTTGAGCATAGTCTCAGTTGGATAGCGCCACCTGGTGGCCAGACAAGCCTTTTCCAACTCCCTGAACTACCAGAATGCTTTTCCGTTGTTTCTCGTTGCTGGGAGCCGTACTGTAGGGTTCTGCTCCGCGGCCCAGAACCCCAAGCAGCATTTCTGCTCCTAGGGCATTTCCAAAACTTGGTGTAACTAACACCTACGGATCAGGCCACTCTGCTCCGATTTCCTCTCAAAGCGGCTTTTTGCCATAACTGAATATGGCCTCCATCTTCTGCTTTTGCCATCTCGATCCTTTTTTTGCTAAGGATTTGACCTTTCTTTGGGGCTTGATGGTGTCTTATGGTGTCTCCAGAAGCTGTGTAACAAAAGCCCATCAACACAGGAGCTGATCTGTTCAGTGACTGGAAGATGACAAGCCGCCATCATCGCTCATTCAAATGGGCATCGCGTAGCAGTTAAGCATCCCCTCCTGGATGGGGAACCTGACCACCGGTACCCAGCCCAGTCCTTGGGGACCCCAGACAGTCTACATTGGCTAGGATCTTGGAGGCAGCAACAATCAAGAACACTGAATACTAAGGATGGGCCGAACCGTTTTTCAGTTCTGATCCGATTCCGATATGCAACTGCCGATACTGAAACAGATTCCGATTTTAACTTTAATATTTTAATTATATACACACACTTTATACTGTAATATATTTTTGAACTAGTGAATACAAATTAAAATAAAAGTGTGCCAAAAAACCTTTAATTGGGCTACTGGTAACAAACATAACACAATGTTCCACCTCATTTGTACATCCCGTTTTAAGCGTTTTTGAGGCATTTGCAGTCGATTTTGAATATCTTCCAAGTGAGGATACACAAGTGGCAGATGCTTAAACTGCCCCACGATTTCTCCCACTGGCAAGAGTCACTTACACTTCGCTACGATAGCAAACCCCTCATGTATCACAAGCTGTAGGGAGTGTGCTAAACAGCCAAGCTGTCGACTCCCAAATCATCCATTGCTTTTTCATATTCCTTGCGTGATCTCACACAATTGTGTGTACTTTGTTTAGTGGGATTTTCCACTAAATGCTGCCTCCACCTCTCAAACCTTTTTTCTGTTTGTTTTTACAAAGATTGTAAATCGCTATGGTTCTAGTTGTTTAAACATAGAATACTTCCAGATCGTCTCCCTCTTAACCAATGTTCTTATGCTCCTTGTACTATGAAGGGTTCTGCGCATGACATCACAGCAGGCAGAATCACCGCGCTCACACCCACTGAGTGGCAGAAGGACTGAGTGGCAGCGTTAGCGTCAAGCTTGAAAGCCGCAGAAACATCTAAAATGGGAAACGACTGTCATGCGATTGATTATAGAAATTGATTTAACAGGAAATAGGCCGAAAACGAAATAAGTAAATATCGGACGTCTCATATGGCCGATATGCAGTCCGTCTATGGATCAGTGCTGATGCTGGTGATTTGGTTCAATATCAGCATCAATCATATTGGTGCATCTCTACTGAATACCTGGTACAGGTGGTAGGGAGCTGGGAGGGAACAAAAACGTGGATTTCGGGGTCCCCAAGGACTGGATTGAGAAGCGCTGCTTTAGACAAACAGATGAAGATGGCATTGAAAGGGGAAAAAGACTATGTACAGTCGTCCGTCGCCATTTCGCGCTTCGACTTTCGCGGCTTCACTCTATCGTGGTTTTTTCAAATACATTTATTCATTAAAAAGTTGATAGTGAAAATGATACAGCCCGCGCTCGGTTGTCTAAGTCAATTATACACCTCTGTATTACAATTAAAATTTTAATTACTGTACGTATGGACTGTAGGCCTATGTATTCGAGCACCCCCGCAAATCCTTCAACGCCAGGTGCAGCCGAATAATAAAGAAATAAAGAATCCTACTTCGCGAAAATTCATTTAACGCGGTAAGAGTCTGGAACGGATTAACCGCGATAAACGAGGGGCGACCGTGTACTGACACGTTCCGGATTTACAGTGACGTCTTATAAGACCCTCAGTGCTCCCCCCCCTTTATGTAGGCTTGTATGTTCATAGGTCTTGTGCAAAAAGGAGACAAGAGCAACAAGGGAGCAAGGCGAGTTGGGGGGTGGGATTGTTTACTCAAAATATAAATATTTCCAAGCCAGTAAATAATGTGGAAAATCCCCATGCAGATTCCTGTGGTAAACCATGGGCTGAGAGTAACTGGCGCTTAGAACTCATGGGTCCCTAGTGTCCCACAACTAACATTACTGCATGGCTTGTATGCCCATGGGATGCAGGGGCTGTGCTGCCATTGGCTAATGTGAATCTGCGGCATCTCTTTTCGACCAATGGATTCTGAGAGCAACAAAAGCAATAGGAATTGTTTTAGACTGTGTTCTCCGTTTAACCTTTGCAATCAAGTACATGTTTCATAACTAACAACTTAGTTGCTTTCCTGTTATCTTAAGCATAGTTTGGTCCGTGCATCTTCTAGCCGCTGATCCCGGACGGGGTTTCGGGGGAGCCTGGACCGTATGCCAGGCAGCGTAAGGCAGGACTACACCCTGCATGGGATGCTGGTCCATCACTGGCCATTTACACACAGACACCACTGGACTAAAGGCAGTTGTTGGAGATGAGGCATTGGAGCTATCGCCTCTTAGCACAGCAGAGGGGAGGTGAATCACTTTGAGAAGTGGACCTGGACAGTTAAACCTGGGAATCACTTGTGCCATGAGCGTTTGCTTTCAGACAGCCGTGTGTCTGTGGCTCACTGTTTAGGTGGGGGGGGGGGGGGCACCAGTAGCGTCCTGCACAGTTGTTTGGTCAGCATGCCTTTCAGAGCCATGAGGTCCCTCGCAGCCTTTATCGATAACAATGAGTAACGACCCGTCAATCTCCCATAACCGCTTATCCTGCACGCCTCACACTCTGAGGGGGGTTCAGAGACCCCGAATCACCTGTCTGCTTTTCTTTAGACGTCAGGTGCAGACAGCAGGGGCTAGGATTCAAACGTGAGCAATAATATACGACCCTAATAACTGCCTGCACCTGCAGCCCTTCTGAAGAGGGGTGTGTTGTGCCATATACCCTGATTAAGGATCAGCAGCAGGTCAGCTGCTCAGACTTCTCAGTCCCGGATTAGCCTGGCATCCTTGGGGGTGCTGCCGCCCTCTGACCCCAGCAAGATTGCTTCTCCCTGGTATTCAGTACGGGCTGGCAGTCTCAGGTGTTGGCTGGTGTGTACATTTGCATGCCGATGGTCTGTCTGCGGTGTTCCTCGCTTTGAAGTTCAGTTTTGCATGCAAGCGATGCTTCGTAAAAGTTTTAAAAATAACTTGCACGGAGGAAGCAGGAGCCCAATTTCTTGCTTTATGTTCCTCCATGAGGACCTGGCATGATTACAGACCACGCGGCGCTTTCTCAGAGGAACTTAAGGTTTCTGCTTTCATTTTAACTGTTGGTTGATAAGTCACTATACTTCAAAGCATCTCCGCCGTAGCCTCTCTGGCTTCAGAATTAAAGCGTCTTCATGCATGTCTTGACAAACGGCCACCCCCCGCTTTAAAAAAATAATGTCCATGTGGGCATGAGACAGTGGGTTCCAGTTGTGAAGGAACAGGTGCGCTGAGGTCAGTGGGTCAGGCCAAATGATATCTGAGCTCCAGTCTTGGCAGTAACTACAAATAAAGACGGAAAGGGATCTGCCCCCCCTCCCATTGCTGTGCCACTTCCAGCCATGTAATTTTGTTTATGAATGCAGCGTTGGAATTCTGTAATGGCGAAAATGTGCAGACGTGTGTGTGTGTGTGTGTGTGTGTGTGTGTGTGTGTCCACAATCTGATGATAACCTGTGGTTTTCACCTTGTGGGGACATTTTTTTCAGTCTCCACAAGGGGAAAATCAGTTTTATGAATTTCTGTGAATACAATCAAAACACTACAAAGTGTCCAAAGTTTAGGGGTTTTCCCAGAGAAATGAATACAGTTGTGTAATCTGTGTGCGTGTGTCTGATGCAGGTGCTGAGCCAGGTGCACCCCAAGCTGTCGTCGAAGGAGGACGCGCTGCAGTACATCGAGGAGCTGATTCTGCTGCTGCTCAGCATGCTGTGCCAGGCGCAGCCGCGCACCGTGCAGGATGTGGAGGTGAGTCTCATCAGCGCCGCCCTGCTGGCCACCGCTGCTAACAGTTATACCTGCCCCAGTGTTTCTCAAATTTTGAACAAAAATAGTCATGAAAGGTATATCCTGTCGTAAACTTACTCTCATCAGTCAAATGCTTTAAATAGTGACTTTTTTGATTACATTTCCATATTTGTTTTTTAAAAATAAAGCAATAGTCAAATATCCACAGGCTGCCATTCAAAAGTTGAGTACCTCATGGACTGATTAATCTAAGCTAAACTGAACGTTAATTCTTGTGGTACAATCTGAAATGAAGCAGCGTGTCCATTAGCATAAACACAACTATTGTGTAAAAAGACAGTATGTAACATAAAACTCAGTAGTGGTACTTTGGTCTGAGTCATTGAAGAGTGTCTCGATTGAGAGTCGGGACTCTTAGGTTCACTGCCACTGCTTCAGGCCTGTGGATTTTCTGGCTGTTTGCAAGTAATTAGAAGTTCCACTCCTGTGGTTTTTGTGTCATTTGCTTTAAACTTACAGCTCTTCTTGCATCGTCAAGTTAAAACAGCAGGGAGTCTTTACAGATCTGCAGAAATACAAGCCTTTTCCATTTATAGGTTTATGGTGGGTGGTGCCTCCTGCCAGGGTGGGGGGGGGGTAATTCGGTACCACACACAGCTGCCCTTAGCCACCTCCGTCTGCACTGTTTGAGTTGACACCTGACAGGTTAATGTGTTCAAAGGCCAAACAAAATGCCTGCCTGCACTGGCAGCCCCATGTTCTCGCTGTTATTTATTACCCAGTCATGTCGCTCTATAAAATCTGTCCTGCTTTTTCTGTCCATTTTCTTTTCCCCTTTGCATTGTCCTGTAATGTTGGTTCAGTTTTTTAGTCTAAAAAGGGAATTGTAATTAAATACTGTATAAGAATAAAGGCCCGCTCCGTCGTCACCGTGTTCTTCACTGCATTCTCTGAGCTGCCTTGTTTTCACCCCGTAAGCCAGCTCGCATGGAACCGAGGTGCAGTGTGGTTAACGACTTAATGCTCTCACATGGTAACTGTGCAGTTTTTGTGTCTTGACCCGGCTGTCGAAGAAGATCCTTCCACGTCACCTTATGTTTAATCCATCTCCACACCTACTGCTGCTGCACGCCCAGTGGTGTGTTGTCTCGTCGTCGGGCAGACTGATTCATTTTGCCTTGTTTGATGTTCGCCTACCAGATACACATAGATGTGGACGATGCTCTGACCTGCATGCTCCTCAGATCTTACCCTCACCTACAAAAAGCCAGCACCACAGTCAGGATCCTGCCCTTTGATTTCTCCAGTGCCTTTGACACCATCCAGCCTTAGGAGAATGCAGCTCGAAGCCCCCACAGTCTCCTGGATCGTGGACTACCTGAGTAACATATCGCAGTTTGTGAGCCTCCAGCACTGTGTGTTGGAGATGGTGGTGAGGAACACTGCGGGACCTCAGGGAACCGCCATGCCTCCCTTCCTGGTCTCCGTCTATACTTCGGACTTCCAGTACAACACCAGCTCATTCTGTCTCAAGGACGGCCCCTCCGTTGTAGGATACATCAGCAACGGAGATGTGTCAGAGTGCAGTGCCCTAGGACTTTGTGTTGTGGTGCGGGGAGAAGAACCTGCAGCTCCACATAAAAACAAGACAAGCAGGGCAAAGGAGTGGTGGTGGACTTCTGACAGAAAAGGGCGCCCTTGAGACTGGCCACCATCCAGGGGGAGGAAGTGGAGTTGGTGCTGCGCTACAGGTCCTTGGGGGATCCACATGAACAGCAGACCGGACAGACAGCACAGTGGAGCTCTACAAGAAAGGCCAGAAGAGACTCTACCGTTGAGGTGGCTTAGGTCTGATGTGCGGCTCAAGCTGCTGATTATCTTCTTAGTCCGTGGTGGCCGGTGTGCTTTTGCGTACTGTGGCCTGCTGGGGAAACTACATTAGTTCAGGTGATGACCTGACCAGACTCATCAGGAAGGCCAGTTCCATTACAGGCCCGACACCGTCCTACGGGAGGCAACAGCAGGCAAGCAGGTGCTGGCAAAATTGGACAACATTATGAACAATTCCGCCGATCCGCTCCAGGGGGCGCTGTCTTGGCGCACCTTTGGCTACTGGCTCAGGATCCTTCCTACCTGCTACCATCAGGCAGTACAGTGCCTCCCCAAGATGCGTCACCCCCCACCCCCACCATAACAAATCAAGAATCACTCCATCTTTGCAATAGCTGTCTGTTCCTTAATCACACATATGCCATCTGCTAATTTATTATTATTATTTAATATTCCTTAGAATCTGGAGAAACAGATTATGGATAATTATCTGTGTGCTGTGTACTCAAGTTGTTTGCGACACGTCTGTTTGCACTATCTTTGCACATAAATGCATGTTCGTCTGCACCTTGCTGCTGTATGCGCAAGAATTAGCCCTTCGGATGAATAAACTTCATTTAATCTAATATGATTGTTTTTGTGTATTTTCTGTATGCGTACAAAAACACTGGGACTCTTGCACATGCTTATGTCTGGCCATGTTTGCCAGTATTTTTATGACGTCGTTTTAAGAGCCAGTGGGCCTTGATCGTCAATGATACGGACATGGCTGCTAATACCCATGTCCTCTCTTTGCACCCCAGGAACGGGTACAGAAAAGTTTCCCTCATCCCATTGACAAGTGGGCCATAGGGGACGCCCAGGCAGCAATAGAGAAGAGGAAGAGGAGGAACCCATTAGCACTGCCTGTGGATAAGATCCATCCCCTGCTCAAGGTGTTTTTTTTTGTTTTTTACCAAGATTGTTGGGGACACGCAGGGCCACTAACAGCCAGCAGATGGAGACAAAGTGTTACCTGCTGTCCAAAACACCCCATGGAATGCCCTTCACTTTTTATTGGTTTAGGATAAGAGTTGGTAGAATTTAATTGGTATTGACTAGAATAGCGGGAAATCATGAATTATAACCCCTTCACAGGTTTAATAAGAATTGGTTATATGAAGAGCTAGTGTAAGTAAAATGAGCAATTCAGTATGGTCGATGAATGAATGGATTGTGGTTTAAGATTTGACATGTGAAGCCTGATTTCATCCTCTGCCTTTACTCTCTTCCTGTGATGCTCTGGCCCACTTCCCAGGAGGTATTAGGGTACAAGATCGACCACCAGGTGTCAGTTTACATAGTGGCCGTGCTGGAGTACATCTCTGCGGACATTCTGAAGCTGGCCGGTAACTATGTGCAGAACATCCGGCACTACGAGATCTCGCAGCAGGACATCAAGGTGGCCATGTGTGCCGACAAGGTGAGAGACGGGTTGAGTCGTGTCGCGTTGGGTGGGCTTGCGTCCGCAAAAACACTCCTCTTGCCGTGCCTTGGTGGATACCTCCCACAGTTTGCCACGATTTTCCTACCCTGACATTGTTAATTATCTGTTCCCCAGGTGCTGATGGACATGTTCCACCAGGACGAGGAGTATATCAGCGGCTTCCCTCCCATGGACGAGGAGCCGTCCGTGTCGGGGGAGCAGACCTACTACGACCTGGTGCGGTCCTTCATGGCGGATGTGCGGCAGTATTTACGTGACCTCAACCTCATCATCAAGGTGTTCCAGGAGCCCTTTGCCTCCAATGCCAAGCTCTTCTCCCACAATGTGGGTCCTGGTACCGTTCTCTGGGGTCGCTGAGCGGGTAGGGGGGGCAGTGGCAGGCGGTCACATGATGGGCCCAGCGGGGGGGCCGTGGTTTCGGGGGCCTTGCCCTGTGGTACCGTAGAGGCACAACTAACAATATGACCACTTCTCGTTTAGCGCCCATTCGCAAGTGAGGGAAATTCACGTTTCGATGTGCGTATTTACCACTAAATTTCATATGACTGAGAGATCTTTGAAGCAGAATCTACAAAATGCTTTTAAAAATGTCAAAAACTTCATGAAGGATGAAAGAGATTGAGTATGGAAGGCTGAAGTTGAGTCATAAGCACAGTTATCCCTAGGCTACCCTGATTTCCAGCGACCCTTTTGTTTAACGACTTGGTCATTGGAACGGAAATTGGTCACTAAACAGTGTCTGTAGTTGCTTGTTCAGTCCTTCAGTTAATATGCTAACGCTGATTTTCACTCCAGCTCGCCTCTTAATGATCTTATAAATTATATCACCATGGGGTCTGCCAGGCTGCCCTGTAGCATAATTTTTTTTTTCTCACCTTTGAAAGCCACCAAGCATAGAACAAATACGGGGAAGAGTCACCCGCCCAATACCTCTGAGCGTTTACCTCTGAGCCACAGTGGGAAGGGCTGTGGCAGCTGAACACTCTCCGGTTCCCCTTGCAGGACGTGGAGAACATCTTCAGCCGCATCATGGACATCCAGGAGTTGATGCTGAAGCTGCTGGGACTCATCGAGGACACCGTGGAGATGACCGACGAAGACAGTCCCCACCCCTTGGTGGGCAGCTGCTTTGAGGACCTGGCCGAGGTCGGTTTAGGGTCAAAGAGCAATGGCTCGTTCCAACAGTAATGACAGAACTGTATCATAGAAGAGAGGCTTCGTGGTGCTCGAGGAAAGCAGCGTCGTCCTCCGTCTCTTGCGTATTCTGTAATGCCGCGTGCGTTTTGGTTTTATCGCTCTTCGTTTCTTTAGCGGAGCTCGCGGGGGATCCTCAGGAGGGAAGCTGTCTGTTATGGTTACCTTCAAAACCTAAGGAAGCTCATTTTCAGAAGGCCGTAAAATGTCTTGTATGTTCTGAATGGAGAACCCCGCCACCTCCCCGAAGGATACGTCCCCCCAGTAACATAAGGATTGTTTTGCAGGAGCTGGCGTTTGACCCGTACGAATCGTATGCCCAGGATATCTTGCGGCCCGGCTTCCAAGACCATTTCCTGAGTCAGCTGTCTAAGCCGGGAGCAGCACTCTACCTCCAGGTGGGATGCCACACGACCTGCTCCTCTAACTCTAGAACTCAGGTTCTCCTCTGGTTGTCCTAGAATCCACCTTCCTCTCAGCCGCCCCGGAGGTCTGCTTATACGCACATTTCCGTCTTTCTCCTGTAATATTTCAGCCTTTCCACAATCGTCTTGGATAAATGGAACCTTCCCAGAATTCTCCTGTATAAATTTAACCTTCCCGCAGTCCTCCCGTAACATTTCAGTCCTCCCACAATCTCCCTGTATAAATGGAACCTTCCTACCATTCCCCTGCATAAATGTAGCATCCTCACCATAACATTTTGGCCTTCCCACAATCCTCTGGTGTAAATGAAATCTTCCCACAATCCCCTCCCCCATAACATCTCAGCCATCCAATAATCACCCAGTATTAATGGAGCCTCACTTAGTTGTTCCTGTAACCTTGTCACCTTCCTGCATCTCCCCTGTAATATTAGTTCCCTCCTCTTGTTGACGTGCCTGTTGTGTTGTGGTTCAAAAATAAGTTGGGGGGGGGGGGGGAGCCGTCATAATAGTGATCCACATATTTTATCTTGAATGATAAAATATCCCCTTTTCTCCAGCATAGTGACATAATCTTCCCACACATTAAAAGGATTCCTGAAGCACTCCTGAATTCATCGTTTGAGTAAACGAATATATTCATGAGGGCGGTCAGCGCCGTTGGCGACGTCCATGGAAATCGGTCTCCAGGAGCCATTGTTTGTTTCACCACGTTAAAAAAATTCCCATACAGTTTTTATGACTGTTTATACAGCTGGGTATCTATTAAAGCTGTTTCTATAAGCATGTGGACCAGTAGGTTGGCCCACTAGGCTGTAGAACAGGGCTATTCAACCCACGGTCCTCAAGAGCTGAGCCCTGCTGGTTTTCCAGCCTTCCTTAATCTGTCAGTCAGGTGTGAAACCTCTGAACAATCAGAATCAGTAATTATTATACTATCTACCTGGGAGAACTGAAAACAAGGCCTGGATTTGGCATCGAGGGCCTGAGTTGAATAGCCCTGGTGTACGGTCTCTGCTGTGTGATGCTCCTGTGTGGTGTCTGTATTGGTGTTGCTATACTAACAAGGCGTTTCTGTGTTCCGCAGTCTATAGCCGAAGGCTTTAAAGAAGCTGTCCAGTACGTCCTGCCCAGGCTGCTCCTGAACCCGGTCTACCACTGTCTACACTACTTTGAGATCCTCAAGGTATGGCCATGACAGAGTGTGGGGTTTGCTGACCCCCCCCCCCCCTCGTGCCTGAGAGGGAATTGCAGCGGATCTCGCTTATCGCTGCCCAATAGCTTCCCGTCAGTCATCCCAAATCTCGTGCCTGACGGGATTTCCTTCACATCTGCTAACGAGGTTCAGACAGATGCCTCATGGAAAGATGGTACCTGCGCTACCGGTTTGCTGGTTGGGTTATGAGACTTTGACACTGAGCATGGCCTAGAACAGGGGTGACCAGTCTTATCCAGAAAGGGCCGCTGTGTCTGCGGGTTTTCACTGCAGCTCCCTAATTACATTACTAATTAGAGGACTGATTGGCTGGAGAGTCCTCACACTTGGGTTTGAACAGTTGGCCTACAGGTTATCCCAAAAACCTGCATACACACCGGCCCTTTGCGGATACGATTGGCCACCGCTGGCCTAGAAGGTTTAATGAAACTGCAGGTAGGCCCACATCCCCCGGGTCTCGCCTACCGTCCCACACCCCCTCTGGGGTGCTCTGGGCCCCCACTGCACAGGTATTGCTGTCCCCGAAGGTTACCCAGACAAAATTCTAAACTTAATTAATCTTTCATTAATCCTTTCCAAAGAGCAAAAATAACATGCTTAGGTAATGAAAGCAATTTTGCAATAGATGTTACCCTAGATTGCTTGCGCTGGGTTTTATGTCGTAGCTGTATTCTGCAGGATGGTCAGAATCCATGAACCCATCAAGTGACCTCGCCTAACTACAGGAATCCTTGTTAATGCTGAGATTTACCTTCACCCTCGTTGCCGAATACGACGGCAGCGACCCGTCAAACAGCCCCCTTGCCTCACACGAAATCTGTCCTCTGAGCATCGACTCTAATTAGACAGCCAGGGCCAATTTTATTCAATTATCGCGAAGCCCCATGTGTGAACAGCATGCACGGTGCCCCCCCCCCAGCCATGCTTCTCTCCTCGTCCGCGCGCCCCTCCAGCCTCCTTCCGACGTGATTTGTTTGCCTACTAAGTGGGTCTCGTTGCCACGGCGACTGCGGCACGTCTTTCCCAATAATGTCCGATTATGATGCATCTTTAACAGAAACAGACACCCATAAATACACACACACACGTGCACACGCACGCACACACACACACACGCACGGGTTGCTCTCCCGGTCCGCTTGGCACAGCTCCTGCTTTGGGCCTTGTGTTCCCCGCTCATGTCCTTGTCCTTGAGCCCCGGAGTGGCGTGACCCCGCTTGGCACCTTAGCCGACACTGGGGGAGGGGTGGCTTTTATCATGCTGGTTGGAACTGTCACCTGCCGAGGATGAATAGTCAGGCCATGGGGGGCACGGGTTCAGGGGACAGTCCTCTGGCTCCGTGGAACTCGCAGTCTGAGCTGCTCGGTCTTTGGATGGCTGTCTGCCTTTCTGATGGACTGGACTGTGGAGAAGACTGCCCTGGTGACCGCCAGGGTATCAAGATGCCTGCATTGTTTGGTCTGGGATCAGGAGGCAGAACCGTTATTTGTCTGTGACTGACCCCGCCCCCCCCCCGCCTCGTTCCCTCTACTGCTGTTTAGCCAGTGGGGGGGGGGGGTTTAGCATAGACATAAATATTTTATTAGACGGCCAGACTGAAAACAAACATGTCCATCACTTTTTGGCCCAATGTCATGTGACCTGCTGCGAAGGGGGGAAAAAAAAGATCCTGGTATGCTTTGCTGCGGGGGGGGGGGTCAGATTGTCCAGAATGTGGTGAAAGAGAAAGTGACCAAAGTTTATTGTGGGTACAGGTTCACTGCAAAGGTTTGTTAAACGTACGCTTTGTGAGCATTTGACCGTAGAACATTGATGGCGTGTGTGATGTGATTGTAGTTATTTCAGGAGCTTGTTGACGGTTTTTTTTACCCCCCCCCCACAGCAACTAGAAGAGAAGAGTGAGGATGAAGAAGACAAGGAGTGCCTGAAGCAGGCCATCACCGCCCTGCTCAACCTGCAGAGCAGCATGGAGCGGATCTGCTCCAAGAGCCTGGCCAAGCGAAGACTCAGGTACTCGACCTGTTGTGATTCGAGGCAGCGCCGCCACACACACACACACACACACACACACACACTTCCAGTCTGTACTGCACTCACACACCAGCTCTGCTCCTTAATCAGCGTCTTTCGCTTGAACTCTGCAGTCTGCTCAGTCCTGCACCCGCCTCCAGGGGGGGTCAGGAACCAGGCTGTGGGGTCGCACGGCATCCTCAGTATTTTGCGGCGGGGGGGGGAGGGCGTCTCGGGAGAATAGTCACTCCACCCCACCATTGTTTCCAACTCTCTCTTACTCGCACACGTACATTTTCCCACCCACACACGCATGCAGTCGAACAGAGAGTAAGCGAGAGTGCGGTACCCCTTCTGCCCAAAATATTATTTTTTGCTTCTTTGCATTTTTCCGGCCTTCTCTTCAGTTTTCTTTTCCGATTTCCCTTCTGCTGAAAAGGATGCCGTCGGATGCGACGATGTAGATTAACTGCGGTCTATTCTCACGGACGCGTTTTGTTTGTTCCCTCCGGAGGTCATTTTATGGGGAAAGGATGGCTTACCGTACGGTACGTTGGCGTTCTCTTATAAAGGCACCGGGGAGGGGGCTCATTTTGCAGCGAGGGGTGGCGGGGAACCCCACGAGGTTAGACGTCTCACCACCCATATTTATCAGGGGTCTTTCTGCGCTCTCTGGAACAATGAGGTAGTCTGCCAAGCCGCTATAGGAACAGAGCTATTTCCCGCAGCTGAGTAATGCTTTCCTCTGTGTTTGTTTGCCATTCGGGCCACTGTGTATGTTTCTGTCTGACCCTGGGGTTTCGGCTCTGTATAAAGGCTCCCGCATGTCCTCCTCGTTCTGTTCTACCCGTAAGCTGCCGCTGTTGGGCTCCCGCCTTGAAACGCAGCCCATGGTGCTGGCAGAAGTCGGGGAGATCTCAGGTGGCTACGTCTCCTTTAGCTGCTGGGTTACGGATCTTAGATGTGCTTTTACAGTAAGCTGGGGTGTGTTAAGTAGTGTGTGTTGGGGTTGTTGGCTGGATGGTATGTGAGAGTATGAGTCGTCTTTTTTTACTCTTCTCCTTCCTATTGTTATGGGGTGTGTAACCTGAGCATGTAGATTGAACGTTACATTCCTGACTGACTGGGAGGCGCCGTGTGCCTCTGTGTGTTAGAATGCTGTGCCTCTAATCAGAAGGTCACCAGTTTAATTGCCATGGTTGGCAAAGTTATTGCACCATTGGGCCCCTCAGCTAGGCCCCTAAGCCTAACTGCTTCAGCAGCACTCTCTGACTCCGCCTTCTTTATTGTGCATTTCTTTGGATAAAGTGTCTGCTAGATAAATAAAATGTGAAAATGTGAAAAGTTTTGGGGCTCAGAGCGGATGGGTGTAACTGGGTATTCCGTCTATCTTGCAGCGAGTCGGCCTGCCGCTTCTACAGCCAGCAGATGAAGGGCAAGCACCTGGCCATCAAGAAGATGAACGAGATCCAGAGGAACATCGACGGCTGGGAGGGCAAGGACATCGGGCAGTGCTGCAGCGAGTTCATCATGGAGGGCACGCTGACGCGCGTGGGCGCCAAGCACGAGCGCTACATCTTCCTGTTCGACGGCCTCATGGTGTGCTGCCGTGCCAACCACGGGCAGCCGCGGCTGCCAGGCGCCGGTGCTGCCGAATACCGCCTCAAGGAGAAGTTCCTGATGCGCAAGGTGCGCGTGAGCGACCGCGACGACGCCGGCGAGTGCCGGCACGCCTTCGAGGTGACGCCGCGGGACGGCGCCGCTGTGGTCTTTGCCGCCAAGACGGCGGAGGAGAAGAGCAGCTGGATGGCGGCGCTGGTGTCGCTGCAGTACCGCTCCACGTTGGAGCGCATGCTGGACCTGGCCGTGCTGCGGGAGGAGAAGGAGGAGCGGGTGCGCCTGCCGCGGCCCGAGCTGTATCGCTTCGCCGAGCCCGACTCTGAGGAGAACGTCGTCTTCGAGGAGAACGTGCAGTCCAAGTCGGGCATCCCCGTCGTCAAGGCCGGCACCGTGCTGAAGCTCATCGAGCGACTCACCTACCACATGTATGCAGGTGAGGGCGGGGCCTCCTGTGAGTGTGGGTGGGGCCACTGGTATATGGGCAGGACTCTTTAATTGGAGGCCGAGTCTGGTGGCACACATGTCCTCCATGTTTCTGCCACTGGCACTTTAAATCTGTGTCCTGGCCGTTTTCACTCAGCAGAGAACCTATAATGTATAGATGATGTAATAATGGATTGACACACACTCTTGACAAGTGCCTTGGTTGCGAATTGAATAAAATAATAAGGGTGAATCCTCTCTGGGGGGCGCTGCTCTTTGGTAAGTGATTTGAAGTAGTGTGGGTCATAGTCCGTTCAATAAATCAAAACGACAATGTATTTGCCCCCCCCTCCCCAAGCCCATCTGGGGCTTTTCCTGATGAATGCCGTAGGAGCTCTCTGTGGGTATCTGCAGAGCATAAAGACATCTGGTCTCCTTTGTTTCTGGTGTCCTGCTGCTGGTAAGACGGACGGAGCCCTGGCACGGCCCACGCCGCTTCCTGCTCCTCGGCCCGCGACCTGTTCCCATGACAGAACCTGGTCGTGAACGACTGCGACGTTTTCATATGAGAGCGCCATCCTGCACTCGTATCAAAACCGCTCTAGGTTGGAGGACAGTGAAGAACCCCCCCCTCCCCCCCCGATTACCCCCAATCGATTTGGCCATTTGGTAAAGTTACTACAAGTGCCATGAGCTTGGTTATTCACATTTTATACAGCTATTAAATTCTTGTTGCTTTGTTTCTGTCCCCAAACACTGCCCTCCCCAAACACTGCCCGCCCCAAACACTGCCCTCCCCAGACAATCCATCCCTCCGTTTTCTGTACCCGTTTGTCCTATTCAGAGTCGGGAGAGTCCGGAGACTAACCCAGAAGGCAAGGAAAAACCCTGGATGGGGGTGCCAGCCCATCACAGGGCACACTCACCATCCACAGATACTGTCAGTTTGGTAATTCCAGTTCACCTCAGCATGTTCCTGTTCCTGGACAGTACCCAGAGGAATCCCCATGACGACTTGGGGAGAACATGTGAACTGTGTGTAGGCAGGGACTCGAACCCCGGTCCCAGAGGTGTGAGGTAACAGTGCAATCCACTGTGTTACCACACCGCTTGCTGCAGAAGAAGGCAAGACATCACTGCTGGCATATTGCCCTAATAAACCGTCTCCAAGGCAGCATCATTTGTCCCCCGTACTCCATCCTAAAAAGCAGTCCCAGTACAGAGGTTCCCCCTGCGGCAAAACCAGTCCCCCTAGCCAGCACTGGTGTTTGAACACAAACGGCGAAAGCTGCTCTGCGGTGACGCATGGATATTTCGGGTTTTTTGATATGCCGGGTAATGCGGGGCACCGTCCGCTTTGGCTCCGTACCGTGCGGACCTGCCTGTTTTTTCAGGTACTGTTTTCATGCCACTGTAGGTCTTCTGACACTCATTTCCCTTTTAGCCGCTAACTTACAAAAGGGCCACCTTAGAATAATGGGAGAGAATTTCTCTGGTGGGTGTTGCTGGTGGAGTCTGTGCTCACACCCCTAAATACATTTCCTGGCAGAAAAAAAAAAACCAAAAAGAAAACAAAAAGCCATTTGGAATAACTGAAGTCCTCGCTGAAGCCTGATTGGCTCCCAGTCTGTTAAGCCAGGGGAAGGTACCTCTCGAGCAAAATGAATTGAAGGGCTATTTTGGGTGGAAGGGGAAAAAGGTGCATCCTGCTAACAGCACCTAGCGCATGCCCCCCCCCCCCCCACACACACACACACACACACACACCCTAACCCCACCTAGTGACCTGCATTCCACTTAGGGGAGTCTCCAGTTTTCGCGACTGTGATGGTGCTCGTTCTGGTTTGGGAATCATGCTGGGATGGAGAAAAAACAGACTGGTTTTCAATGTTCAATGTTTATGCTGTGTGTGTGTGTCTGTCTGTGTGTGTTTGTCTGTGTGTGTCTGTCTGTGTGTGTCTGTCTGTGTTTGTCTGTGTGTTTCAGCTTGTGTGTGTTCGTGTGTACCAACAATTGGCAGTTACCTAAAATGACCAGAGATGGCATATCTGTCCCACCCAGGGGTGGGGGGGGGGCACATCTTTGTGTGTCCATGTGTTTTCCTCCCTGGGGTGACTCCAGGCCAGTTGTTTGTAAATTCACACCGACTATTGTTGTATGCTGACCACACGGTGCTTAACTACACACTCACGCAGGCAGATTTTCAAACTATCGGTGCAGGCGATGAAAGTGAAGCATTCTGGGAAACTGGGCACCACAGTCTCCACTGAACACACGAGTATCCAAAGCGAAACAGGTGTTTTGTCAGACTCGGGGGGTATCCTGCAATATAAAGTTACCCATTACTTGCTCACCCAAAATACTATGATGTGCTCATATTATTGTGGGAAAATTGTCACGGTCAAGTGGTTGACATCAGCTTCTGGAATTTCCTGGTTTAATAATAATATTACGTGCGGACTCTTAACAGTGGCTCTGTGTCTGTGATTTGCTTCCAGATCCCAATTTTGTGCGGACCTTTCTGACAACGTATCGGTCATTCTGCAAGCCGCAGGAGCTGCTGACTCTGCTTATGGAGCGGTGAGTGGGCTAGAAGAGGAAGTTGAGCCTGGCAAACAGCTCCTGACAGGCACTGTGCCATGGCCACTGTGCCACTGTGCCGTGGCAGACCAGCTTAACACGGCACAGTGAGCTGTATGCTGTCCTTCTTGACCGGGGTGGGGGGGGGCGGACTTCACCGTAAAGAGCACAGCGCATCTGCTAAGCTAATACATAACATAATGACTTTGATCTGTTTGTCTGGTTTGTCACGTAGCAGGTTTGCTAGGTTTTCACTGCCGATCCATTCCAATCAGGTTTGAAATCCCATCCATTCCAATCAGGTTTGAAATCCCATCCATTCCAATCAGGTTTGAAATCCCATCCATTCCAATCAGGTTTGAGATCCCAGAGCCCCAACCCACAGAGGCGGACCAGATGGCGATAGAGAACGGGGACCAACCACTCAGCGCCGATCTGAAGCGCTTCCGGAAGGAGTACGTGCAGCCAGTCCAGCTCAGGTATGACTCGCACAAGTCTTATTTTAAAGTGGATCTCTGTGTACATCTGTACATGGACTCCTTGTCTGGGGCCTTCATTATACACAGTCATGATTAGTCCCAGAAGCCCTGGATCATGCCCTTTACACAGTCCTGCAATGCGGAGTCACTCTCACCCCCCCCCCCCGTCTCCATTGCCCACCCAGGGTTCTGAATGTCTGCCGGCACTGGGTGGAGCACCACTTCTACGACTTTGAACGCGACCCAGAACTTCTCAGACGCCTGGAGGAGTTCATCGGCATGGTCCGAGGTAGGATGACGGCAGTCGGCATTCGTCTACATCTCTCCCGATTATTCCTTAAATACCAGTGTTCTGGATGAAATACAAAGTGCCGAATCGGTGCAGTGATACCCCATGCCAACTTGTGCCTCCTAGGCAAAGCCATGCGGAAGTGGGTCGAGTCCATCACCAAGATCATCCAGCGGAAGAAGCAGGCGCAGGCCAACGGGTCCAGCCACAACATCACCTTTGAGAGCCCCCTCCCGCCCATCGAGTGGCACATCTGCAAGCCAGGCCATATGGAGCACTTTGACCTCTTGACCCTCCATCCCATCGAAATCGCCCGCCAACTCACTCTGCTGGAGTCAGACTTCTACAGGTTTGCCCCCCCCCCCCCCCGTTACATCATAAGGGCATTAAACATGCCTCTGTCCTTCACTGCGCTCTTGGCTTTCTCACTGCTCAGTCAAGTGTCCAAATGACACGGATGAACACGCAGCACCATCTCCGCTTTGCAGGGCGGTCCAGCCCTCGGAGCTGGTGGGCAGCGTCTGGACAAAGGAGGACAAGGAGCTCAACTCGCCAAACCTCCTGAGGATGATCAGGCATACCACCAACCTCACACTCTGGTTTGAGAAGTGAGTCGGGACCCTATGGTTACGCTTGTTCAGAAACGCTGACGTAATTAGGGAACCCCCCCAAGGGAGGATGCTGTAGGTCCACCAGGGAGAACTTCACTGTCATCTGTTGACTGGTTTCACTCATGGTTTGCTTACCACCACTGAATACGTTTTGTGTACTTCGCACTTTGACCTTATTTCTTGCTAGACTCATTTGCATGGTTTAAGCAGTATTCCACACACATATATATACACATATATATACCCACAACTCCCTTGTACTTGTTTCTGGTCACCCACTGGAGACGTTGCCTAGCAGCACTTGTACCTAAGTTGGCACTAGGGGTCACACACAACTTGAGATTATTCAAAGTGAACGGTTACGTCATGAAAGTCGGGTCGAGCTAATCGCTGATGATGTCATGAATGAAACCAATAGAAAAGGGAATGGTTTGCAACAAGCGACAATCCATATTCGCGAAACTTAATGCATTTACTGGCGACAAAGAGCTCATAAGACAACAAGTGGAAAGAAAAACACAAAGTTGCAACTCAGTAGCAACAATTCATGCAACAATGACGCTTGTATGCTATTACTTCCATTTAAGTGTGAGAGACGGAAGACTGATATTTTGGCATAACAGTTCCTGGGCCCATCTCGACTTGTAGCTCTCAGCCACATTTGTCTGTCACTTTCCCATGGCACAGCAGGAACTGTGACTTTTATGCTAAATAAGCACATGATTTCATACGAAACTACACCACCCCCCCAAAACAAGAGGATAAATAAGCCGTTTTGTTATTTATTAGTTGTTACTTAGTTAGTGGGGGGATCGATCGCGATCGAAACGAGACACAGCCTTTTATTTATGTTTATCTTTTATATGTTTATAATTCATTATTAAATCTTGCTGTCAGATCGATCTTTCATTTTCCACAGAATAACAAAAGTTTATTGGCTATCGATTGAATTTTCCGAGGAGGAAAAATTGTAATGGAGGTAAAAAATGCATTAGATGTAATTGAGGTCCCCGCACTATTCCCCACACTTCCCCCGCACTGTTTCCCCCGCACTGTTTCCCCCGCACTGTTTCCCCCGC